GGAAATGACTATTACCTAACTTGTTGGGTTGGCCATATATAAACCATCAATGTAGCTTTAAGACTGCTGTATTGCATCATACTGTGTCCTGATTGGTTAGCTCTGTAGCCAATATCCTTAAGAGGGAGCTAGAAACATGGTTTGTTTTTTTTCTTTGCTGTTCTTGCTCTCTGATATCTCCGTATGCTACTGTTTGCAACTCCAGAAGAACTGTTTATTGTGAATGACTATGACGACTGGTAAGAAGACTTTGTTATTGGATTATCCCTGGGCTGTCGTTTTGACTATCTCCTGCTTTATATGTGTACGACCTGGACTGTTTATTGGACTGTGCCTTACTATTTCCTGAAAGTAAACACAACTCAGTGTATCTGTGTGTCGACTGTGTTTATTCGTAACTACTCTCAATCGCTTTCATGTACACACCCTTGCTACTCTAAAAATCCTGTGGAATGGGTTATGCAGGTACTCTAACTAATCTGCCATACTTAAGTCAGTTTTGACCAAAAATACAGGCAAAGTACAAGTAAATCCTTGACTTAGGACCACAATTGAGCCCCAGATTTCTGTTGCTAAGGGAGACAGTTGTTAAGTGGGCTTTGCCCCATTTTACGACCTTCCTTGCCACTGTTAAGTGAATCACTGCAATCCAGTGCTGAAATACTGCACAGTTTGCCACCGGTTCGCTACCGGCGCATGTGCAGTGCGTGCCAAATGCACACACATGCTTGCACAGTGCACGCCAAATGTGCACTTCATGCGGAAAAAGGAGGCTTAAGAAGGTAAGTAGAACAGCGAGGGGCAGAACAGATGTGCTGCGTGATTTAGATTCACTATAAATCACGCGGTACAGCTGATCATCGGAAATACCGGTTCGGATGAAACTAGCTTTTTTTAATTACCAATTCGCCCAAACCGGTGCGAACCGGTAGCATTTCAACCCTGCTGCAGTCGTTAAGTCAGTAAAACCGTTGTTAAGCAAATCTGGCTTCGCCATCAATATTGCTTGTACGGAGGTCGCAAAAGGGGATCGCGTGACCCCGGGGACACTGCAACCGTCATAAATACGAAGCGGTTGCCAGGTGTCTGAATTTTGATCACACGACCATAAGAATGCTGCAACGGTCGTAAGTGTGAAAAACGGTCATAAGTCAAAATTTTCAGCGCCGTCGTAGCTTCAAACGGTCACTAAATGAAACTGTTGTAAATCGAGGGCTACTTGTATTATAGCATCTGGAAAGTAACATGTGAAAAGACTGCCTCCAATTTCAGTCACTTTCCAGAAAAGTTTTATTTCCATCGAATTCTTAAGTCATACGTACTGCACTTCATTAGGTCAAACGGCAGACTTTTAAAATCACTGGATTTAATGAAAAAAATTGCCAATTACCTCTAATAAACTCTTATGATATTACAAATCTGCAGACGTGCGCTTTTCTCAAAGTCAGCGTTAAATATGTCCATTGATCTCCTAATGAAACTCAGCACAAAATCAGAATAGAGACCGTGAACAAAATTAAGAATGGTTTCAATTTAAAAAAAAAAGATTTTTGGAGACAGACTAAAAGGATGATTATCATTTTCTTGCTTCCAGTCAGCATGGATATCTGCCACAATTATTTATTTAACATTCCAGTTCAGGGGGGGGGAAAAAACACCAGTTATTTTTAAAATGTGATTCCAATGCAAAAATGTAAGCATTATCAGCGGCTTTTGATGTGGTAATGCACAAAAAGGGCTTGTCTCTATAAAACTATTTTGGGGTTTGGCTACAGGACGGAGCTAAACTGCTTTAAGAAAAATAATTCTTTTTAAGGAATTGGTCTTATTAGCAGGAACAAAAAAAATCTTAGGCTAGAAAGCTACGTAGCGATGATTCCGTCTTCAATATAAGAAATCATGAACTTAAATCAGCATAAAATTAATACCAATGTAAAATCAATCCGTTACTGATATATCCAAACAAATTTGCTGTTTAGTAAATCTGGATAGCAATTATTTTACAAGATGTAGGTTAAGTGTTATTCCTCCATGTGCATTTTCCAGGAGAAGAAGAATTATTTTTAAAAAATGATTCTTATCATTTTAGTATTGGATATTCATTCTTGCTTTGAATGTCTTTGCTAAAAAGAATGTATTTGCCCGTCAGAATTTCTGGTGCTGCCTGAATAAATATACAGAGAAATATAGGTAATCCTTGACTTACAACAGTTTGTTAGAAGTTGCAACGGCACTAAAAAAGTGACTTATGACCGTTTTTCACACTTATGACCAGAGGTGGGTTTCAGCAGGTTCTGACCAGTTCTGGAGAACCGGTAGTAGAAATTTTGAGTAGTTCAGAGAATTGGTAGTAAAAATTCTGACTGGCCCCGCCCCCATCTATTCTCTGCCTCCGGAGTCCCAGCTGATTGGGAGGAAATGGGGATTTTGCAGTATTGTTCCCCTGGAGTGGGGTCGGAATGGAGATTTTACAGTATCCTTCCCCTGCCACGCCCACCAAAGCCACACCCACAGAACCGGTAGTAAAAGTTTTTGAAATCTACCACTGCTTATGATTCGCTTAACGATTGTAGGAAGGAAGGTCGTAAAATTGGGCCAAAAGAGTCACTTGACAAATTTCTCACTTAGCAACATAAATTCTGTGGCTGTAAGGCGAGGACTACCTGTATATAACTGTATCTTACCAAATATGGATAATCAAAAGGCCAAAAATCCAAGACGGATGAGGTGATGGGTCAGATTATGTTGTCCATTTCTACTCCACGCCTGATTTCTGTCAAACTATGAAGGTTCTCCATGAAGGGAACCAGACCGTGGATTCTTGAATTACAGCTATGAAATATCTTAGTTTTTTTAAAAAAAATTGATTTATATGCCGCCCTTCTCCGGACACTCAGGACGGCTTACAATGCGCTAAGCAATAGCCTTCATCCTTTTGTATATTTTTTTATACAAAGTCAGTTTATTGCCCCCACAAACCGGGTCCTCAATTTACCTACCTTAGAAAGGATGGAAGGCTGAGTCAACCTTGAGCCTGGGGAGATTCGAACTTACTAATTGCAGACAGCTGGAGTTAAATTACAATGCATTAGTCTGCTGAGCTATCCAGACCATGTGAATGTATTGTTTTGGATATTAACCACAAAAACTAAATTGGTGGACAAAATAGAATAAACAGAGTTGGGAGGGACCTTGGAGGTCTTCTAGTCCAACCCCCTGCTTAGGCAGGAAACCCTATACCGTTTCATACCAATGCTTGTTCAATCCTTTCTTTAAAAAACTCCAGTGTTGGAGCATTCACAACTTCTGGAGGCAAGTGGTTCCACTGATTAATTGTTCTCACTATCAGGAAATTCTTCCTTAGTTCTAGGTTGCTTCTCTCCTTGATGAGTTTCCATCCGTTGCTTCTTGTCCTGCCTTCAAGGTGCTTTGGAGAATAGCTTGACCCCCTCTTCTTTGGGGCAGCTCCTCAGATTACAGATCAACAGAGTTAGAAGGGCCCTTGTAGGTCATCTAGTCCAACCCCCACCCCCGCCCAAGCAGGAGACCCTGCCTACACCATTTCTAGATATTGATCCAAATATTCTAGATATTGGAACACTGCTATCGTGTCACCTTAAAAAGGGGTTTCATTTATCCTCACAATTATGGCCCATTGACGAAGGCAGAAAAAGTAGACTTTTAAGGATTTCCCGCCCATCGTTTCCATCAATTGCTTGACGGAAGAAGGTAGTATCTCAACACTCTACGTTTTAGTCATTTAAGAGAAAACCCTGAAAACTCATGGGAAAAAGAAAGCAAGAAACAAGACCCTGGTGGCGCAGCAGACTAAAGCACTGTGATTAACATCCAGCTGTCTGCAATTACTGCAAGTTCGAATCTCACCAGGCTCAAGGTTGACTCAGCCTTCCATCCTTTCTAAGGTAGGTAAAATGAGGAGCCAGTTTGTGGGGGCAATAAGCTGACTTTGTATAAAATATACAAAAGTATGAAGGCTATTGCTTAACGCATTGTAAGCCGCCCTGAGTCTCCGGAGAAGGGCGGCGTATAAATCAAATTAAAAAAAAAAAAAGAAAAGAAAAAGAAATGAAGACTCTTGATCACGGGTGAGTTGCTGCGGGTTCGCGAGAACCTCTAGCTAAGATTCTGTGCAGTTTGGAGAACCCTGAAATCCCACTCCTGGCTGGCCCCGCCCACCCCTCCCCGCCCCTCCCAGGAGTCCCCACATGGCCCGTTTTGGATGTAAGTGCAGGGCGCACGCGGAGGCTCGGGGAGGGTGAAAAATGGGCCTACCGGAAATTCAGGGAGGCCAGAAACGGGCCTGTTTCTGGCCTCCAGAGGGCCTCCGGAGCCTGGGGAGGCCGTTTTTGCTCTCCCGGAGGCTCAAAGAAAGCCTCCGGAGCCTGGGGGGGCAAAAATGCCCCCTTTGGCATGGTGCAGGAGGCTGACTAGGCCACACCCACCCAGCAACCAGGCAGAGAACCTCTTGCTAAAATTTTTTAAAGCCCACCTCTGTTCTTGATGACACTTGCTTGGATTTTTTTTTTTTTTTACAGAGCTCCGTTTTTTTAAATTTTTTGGATATCAACCAGCTGGGATCGATAAACTCCTTCCTTCCAATGTTGGCAAGCCTTCTCCTAAACTTTCTGCTTAACAATCTTCTCAACCTCAGTTATCCAAACCTTCCACCATTATAATTCTATCTCCTTTTAATCATCACAGACACCCCCCCACCCCCAGATCTTAAAAACAGAATCGCATCATGAATTAGCAAAAATTCGCTTTCCCAGCCATGGAGGCTTTCTGGGAAAGTTGGGATTTTAATGCCACAGCGAAACGTATAGACGTCAAAGCACATGTATTTTCCATCAGCGCTGCAGAAGGACAAGGAAAAGCACGAGGATCGAAGTGAATCAGCTGCAATTTAAGTTAGTAGGAAGTACAGAAAGCATGCAGCTCGAGCGGTTTTAAGGATCCAACGTTCGCACACGACAACTTACTCTGTATCATCAGACACAGGGGTTCTGCAGCCGGATCTATAAAATCAAATATAAAGTTAGAAATGCTGGGCCGGGATCGTAACGAAGGTTTCAAATGCACTGGCTTGCAGGGAAACGCGATCGCTTTTCCATCTGAAATAAAAAGTTTTAGAAGGCAGGGGAAACTGACAAGAGCATTCCCCTTGCAGAAAACCACACACGAAATAAAACTTTCATTCTGTCACTCCGTAGAATTTTAAGAAGTTTTTTTTAAATCAATATTTAGAATTCGGAATTATCCCGTTAGCAAGTCACAGTGTGGAAGTGAAGAGAGAAAGCAATTCCTAACAGAAGAACTGATAAAATAACAGTAATAATAATAATAATAATATACGGGTAGTCCTCGACGTACGACCGCTATGGAGCCCAATATTTCGGCTGCTAAGCCAAACATTTGTTAAGTGAACTCTGCCCCATTTTTCGACCTTTCTTACACAGTTGTTAAGTGAATCACTGTCGTTGTTTTCGTAACACGGTTGTTAAGTGAGTCTGGCCTCCCCATTGACTTTGCTTGTCAATGGGGAGGCTGCAACCGTCATAAATACAAGTCAGTTGCCGAGCGTCTGAATTTTGATCGCATGATCATGGGGCTGCTGCAATGGTGGTAATTATGAAAAATGGCCGTCAAGTCCCTTTTTCCGGTACCCATTGTAACATTAAACGGTCCCGAAATGAACGGTTGAAAATCGAGGACTACCGGTATGGTTGAGATCAGCCACACGCATGCAGTTACGACACATGTCTTTGAATATTAGTAGCTCGGGATGGTAGTTATGTTGTCGGTTTGAGCTCCGAGCTTGGTGATTCGGTTGCAAACGCTTCGTCCCCATTCGAGGAGACGTCGTCGGTGCGTTTTGAATTGTGCTTGTCTGGGGGAGCCCTGTGTCAGTGTATGAGAGTTCATGAATTGGAATAGACATGGTAACAGGTCAGCCAATGGGGACTGTTTGGTGACGCAGATGGCTCAGAGCCTGGGCGTGGCTTAAATTCACTGATCTGCGTATATATGAGTGCTTCTGTGATTCTATGGCTTCTGTGATTATATTGATTCTGTACTTCTGGATTCTGAGTTCTGGTTCTGGCTTCTGCTGTATGGTATTGTATATAAAGAAGTTTCTCATGTAAATGAATCCTGCTGAATTCTTTACTTGTGTGCTAGTTGAATTGCTGCAAACTCTAACACCCTGGCCATCCGAACAAGAACGCCAGCACTAATTTACATTCACACAGACAGTACTTAAAACCAAGGCCTACTGACGCAGCAACTACAGCCAGCCAATCACACAACCTGAAATCAGACCAGAATTCAGCAAGATATTTAAAGGCCAGTGGTCCCCCACAGACGACCACAATCCAAAGCACACTGACAACGTCTCCTCGAATGGGGACAAAACGTTTGCAAACAAATCGCCAAGCTCGGAGCTCAAACCAACAATAGAGCAATAGCACTTGGCACTTAAGACTTATATACCGCTTCACGGTGTTTTACAGCCCTTTGTAAGCGGTTTACAGAGTCAGCCTCTGGCTCCCAACAATCTGGGTCCCCGGAAGGATGGAAGGCTGAGTCAACCTTGAGCCGGTTAGGATCGAACTGCCAAATTGCGGTCAGTCAGCAGTCAGCAGAAGTAGCCTGCAGTTCTGCATTCTAACCACTGCACCACCACAGCTCTGTACATAGTTACTACACAGGTCGTAACGTGACAATTAATGTGGGTCAACGCCTTTACCCTGTAGCGCATCGGATGCTGCAAATGAGAACGGCGCGTTCTATTTCTGCAAGATTATATGTAATTTATAAGCTGCGATTAGCAGACTTCCGATCTCCAGAGAAAACCGCAGCGACTTACGTTGACGGCAAAGTTCTCGAGAACACGATCACACAGCCCAACTGCCATAGATTTAGTAACAACAAAGGCTCATTACTGTCACGCATGCATATTAATGTGCAACGCAATGCATCAGGCAGCCTGCACAACACACTTTATAGGAGAGGATCGGGGACATTAGGGTGCAAGGTCTGAACTGAACGACGGCTCACATTTGCAAAGGGTCAGCTTGTAGGGTGGCAAGTTGTATGGTATTTATTTCCAGATGTTTCTGCTTCTCTGGTGGGATTACACGGGTCCCCGATATTTTCTTGTCAACAACAGAACGTGCGTCCTCTTGTGCTAAACCTGCCGCGCTACGTCTCATGTGTTCCGGTGTGTACGCGGGCTGCGTTGCGAGGCTTTGAGGGATCTCCCCGCAAAACTGTTCGGCTCCCACCGAAACTGTCGCGAGGACGCTTAAAAGAAGAGTCCATTTTTAGTTGGCAGTGAGATACAGGGCGGATCAGTCAATCACCCCTCTCCAACCCAAGGAGCCCAGGACGGAGTTTATGTCCCAAGGCATGCATTAAAATCACAATGAAAAGGCAGTATTTTTCAGCATTTGTCGTTCTGAGCGCCACCCAGGCAGACGAGAGACGGTGAATGGAGGTTTTGCACTAGACCGGCACCCACAAATTATATCTTGGCTTTAATTAAAGGAATACTTGTTTTAAGGGATACATTAGGGGTGGCCAGCGTATCATCGAGATCATAAATGGCACAGGGGAAGAAGAAAAAAAAAAAGACTCGTGTCATCCAAAGATAGAAACAAGAGCGAACGAACAATTTCTACGTCAATGGATTCCATCTGCACCTCCGTTTTGCCTGTCAGCGCTGTGGCTGTGTAGCCCTTTAGCAGATTATAAGAAATCTGCACCATGGCAGGCGGTTTTGTTTTCCAAGTAATTTGTACTGGAAGAAAAATTACTTATATCTTTGGTAATTTGACGTGTAGAAGGTTGTCAAAGATGCAGAACCCCCTGCTCAGGCAGGAAACCCTGTACCAGTCATGGCGAACCTTTTTGGCACCGAGTGTTTTTGGTACTCTCTCTCTGAGCTTGGTGGTTTTCTTACAGATGTTTTACGACCCAACTAGGTAACATCATCAGTGCTAGAAGGGAGTGGGGTTTGCAGAGAGAAGGAGAAAGACTGTGGGGTCCTTGGTGCTCTCTGAGCTTCGTGGTTTTTGTTAGGAAATGATTTTACCTAACTTGTTGGGTTGGCCATATATAAACCATCAATGTAGCTTTAAGACTGCTGTATTGCATCATACTGTGTCCTGATTGGTTAGTTCTGTAGCCAATGTCCTTAAGAGGGAGCTAGAAACCTGGTTTGTTCCCCTTTACTGACTCTTTGCTTAATATCTTTACTGTCTTTGCTGTGTTTGCTACTGTTTGCAACTGTTTATCATGTATGACTACAACAACTGGTAAGAAGACTTTGTTATTGGATTATCCCTGGACTATTGTTTAACCATCTACTGCTTTATACGTGTATGACCTGGACTGTTTATTGGACTGTGCCTTATTATTATTTCCTGAAAGTAAACACAACTCGGTGTATCTGTGTAGTGGCTGTGTTATTTCCTAACTACTCTCAATCGCTTTTCATGTGCACACCCTTGCCACTCAAGGGTTGCTCTGTGAATTCCTCAACAGTTTTCTTGCAGACATTTCAGGACCCATCTAGGCAACATCATCAGTACTAAAAGAGAACCCCAGAAGGAAACACCGTTCTGTTCTAGCACTGATGTTACCTAGTTTGGGTGATGAAATGTTTATAAGAAAATGATCTGTCCCCGTCCACACACACACACAAACACAGCCAGCCGAGGGTTAAGAAAGTACTTGGCACGCACACAGGTCGTTATCTCAAACTTGGCAGCAGTATAATCACTGTCTGCCAAGAGCTTTTACTGCAACAGATAACATAAAATTACATACGCATTGCAAATAGTCCAGCAAAACAATATCCCTTTCGGCAGCTTCAGACGTTGTTCAAGTGACTAGCCAAAGTTCATTTTTGTTCATCACGGAGTTTTACCAGCCACCACCCTCTCTTATATAGTCTCTGGGGTGTGGTCCAGTGACTCAGTTCTAATCCCTAGCACGCCTCCTTAGCTGCTGCAACCGTTTATCACGCCTTCGTTGGCATGCATCCAGGAATGACGGCTCTCCTTCGCTCTCATCCGAGACACCTGGCTCCTGGCTAATCTCCTCTCCCTCGGCCGGCACCTGAGACAGTGCCAGAGGGGAGGGGCCTGGAGAGGAAGGCCTGGCTGACTCCTCTTCCTCATGGCAGAAGCTGGGACAAGGAACGGGAGCTCACCCCGTTACGCGACACTAGGGATTCGAACCACTGAACTGCCGACCTTTCGATCGACAAGCTCAGCATCTTAGCCGCTGAGCCATCGCATTCCCTCATGATAGGACTCGCCAAATTCCTGTTAGGACGGGGGTCCTCAACCCCTGGTCCGCCCACGGCATGCCAGAAACTGGGCTGCACAAATAAACGAAACCCCATTCGCAGGATGAAAGGAGCACGTGAAACTACGCCCCCACCGTTTCGTGGAAAAACCTTTCTCCATGGAACAGGTCCCTGGTGCCCCAAAGGTTGGGGGGGGCCTCCCTTTTAGGCAATCCCCAGTATAATAAACAATTAAATAAGTAGACCCATATAACATTCATAATGACATTCATTATACTTAGTCTCTACGGTGTCATACTCAATTTCATTAAGGGCTTGTGTTTGACCTTGGAGGGCCGGGGAGCTCAACATCAATAGTGTCGGGGAGCGCCTGTGATGGCCCGAGCGCTCTGCCAGGGAAAATGGGCTCCCGAGCTCCATTTTCGGCTGTAACAGCGTCCTGCAACCCTCTGCCAGCGAAAACAGAGCTCGGGAGAGCTGCACGCGGCCCTCGCAAGATCCGTTTTCGCTGCCAGAGGCACCACGGGCCGGTCCTTTGTTGTTCCCAGGCCAGATCTAAGCACCCCGCGGGCCGGATCCGGTCTGTGAGTTTGACATCCCTGCTTTACAGTATCCTGCAAAATTTCTTTGGAGAAATGGAGTTCCGACGCAAAACCCAAGCCAGCCAAATGAGGCTAACGACAACTCTCTCTTTCTTTTGCTCTTCTGCGCAACACCATAAGCAAACGAATACCAAGGTGTGAGTACAACTATATGTTTTCCTCATCTTACAGCCTGACACGCAAACCTGCAGGAGATCGGCTGCTAGCGTAAAGGTTAAGGAAAACTGAGTTAAACGTGATCATTTCTCCGCATGTCTCGTCTTCTTAAACTTTTATCGTACTGGTTATCTTCTGTTAGAACAGAGGTATCAAATTCAATTTCATTGAGGGCCACATCAGGGCTGTGGTTGACATTGGGGGGCCGGGTGGGTGTGGCCGACTGTGCGGGCATGGCCAGCTTGATGCCACTCACTGGGCGTGGCCAGCTGGGTGGGTGTGGCTAGCTCGGTGGGTGTGACCAGCTTGACATCACTCCCCAAGCCGCTGGCATGTTTCCTCTTTGCATTGAGTAGACCGGGCTGAAGCGATGCGGGCCAGCCCCTTACATATTCCAGGATGGCCCCATGGGCCTGATCTGACCACATCACAGGCCGGATCTGGCCTGCGGGCTTTGAGTTTGACACCCCTGTGCTAGAATATGATGGCACCAGATTGGTTTTGATTGACCTCTCCTCAGCGGTGAAATCCACTTACCTTTGCTACCAGCTCGGGAACGGGAGCGCGTGGGAGTACGTGCACTCTATGCACGCGCGCACCTCTTCTGCGCATGCACAGATGGTAAAAAATGGGACGTAATGACGGCGCTACGGGTTCGCGCGAACCGAATAGATCCAGTTGGATTTCACCGCTGCCTCCCCTCCCCTCATGTTAAATTCATCCTTTCCGCTTAAGCAATAACCCTCAAACCTTTTCATGCAAAGTAGGCATAAGAAGTTCACAATAACCTTTCTGGCTTTTCTGCTTTTGGCTGAACATTTGGCTCTCTCTGACCAACCATATTTCTTTGGCGTTTCAATGGAGCATTACAAGTCGCTAAACGGTTAGCTGGGATAAGAGGACTAATCGGTTTAGGAAAAGTCCCGAATCTTCTAACCATCATATCATCTCTTTCAAGATCTGGGAAGCGGTCATCCGATTCTTCTTCGCTATTGTCTTGCCACTCACTCAGACCGCTGGACCATTGCCGCTGGGCATCAGCGCAAACATCCCGGACTGATGACTTATAACCATCTGAATCGGGCAACGATATTTCGCTAATGTAGGAAAGCAGGAGACAGAGAGAGAGAGAGAGGAGGAGGAGAAATAATGAAAGCCACATGGAAAGGGCGAAAGAGGAATCTTGACTTATCTTTCACAAGGAACATCACAGCTTCTTAAAAGTAGCCTCAAAAGAAGATTTACACCCAACATCCAAAGATTTAAATAATGGGAAACTTAACCAATGTGAATATTTTGCATTCTACGTCACCCAGAAAAAGAAGATTAAAAAAACCCACAACGGCATGGATCACTTTTAAGATATACACTTCAAAGGTTTCCTGAATGAAAAGTAGATATTTTCTTGAACCGATGGCTTTCAAAAGAGGGTTGAAATTTTGTACTGTTCTGCCAGTAATGAAAGAAATGCATATATATGTATGTATGTATGTATGTATGTATGTATGTATGTATGTATATAATGTCAACTCGCAAAGCATCCCTGGCCTGCTCTCGAGTTGCCATAGGCAAAGGGGATGGGAAACCGATGAAGCAGCCTGCAGCCAAAGACAGGAGTGCATTCCAGACATATATTTTTCAAGGCTGTCTTCCAGGGTTACCCACAACGGCCGGAGGGGAGTAGTCTCTACAACCCACGAAATTGCTCCGTTGGCAAATGTGATTCATGACACACCCGGGAGGGGGGGGGCAACAGGGTCATGATTAGGGCTGGAAATTATGTGAGGTCAGAGTTGGTTCACTTGGAAGGTGCCAACATGAAGCTCCTAATAAATAACTGGATTTCTTTGGAAGCTTGGCTCGAGACTCATGATTTAATTAGGGCATCCGTCTGGACCCTAACATATAGCTCCTCCCTATATATATTTGGGAAGCTCCTCCCATTTTGGGCAGTCAATTTCCATCACTGGTCCACAATTCATGGACCTCTGCTTAGGACTTCTTGGGTGCCCTCACTTTGTGTCCTGCAAAGCCATTGCATGAGGCCATTTCGGAGGACTGAAAATGTTCCTAAGTGGTTTTCTATGGAGATTCTCAGTCATCCAGGTCCCAAAGGGCTTTATTGGTGTTTTCTTGAAAACCTTTCGCTTCTCATCCAAGAAGCTTCTTCGCTTCTTGAGCAAAGAAGCTTCTTGGATGAGAAGCAAAAGGTTTTCAAAGAAACACCCACCCACCACCTGATAAAGTCCAATTGCCTTTTGAAATATCACCTTTGGGACTTCCTTCCTTCCTTCCTTCCTTCCTTCCTTCCTTCCTTCCTTCCTTCCTTCCTTCCTTCCTTCCCTTCCCTTCCCTTCCCTTCCCTTCCCTTCCCTTCCCTTTTTTTCTTTCTTGTATTTAGCATATTCATTTATTGACTCAATGCATTTACTACAGTGGTGGAATGTAAAATTTGTTATTACCGGTTCTGTGGGCGTGGCTTGGTGGAGGGTAATGTGACTGAATAGGCGTGGCCAACTTTTTTTTTTTAACTTTTAAAACCATTTTTACTACAACTTCTTCGGCCGAAGAGGTTGTAAAAAAATGCTTTTAAAAGCCTCTGACGATCCCAGCTGAGTTGCCTGATCATCAGAGGCTTTTTTTTCTTTTAAAAACATTTTTTTCTACAACCTCTTCGGCTGAAGAGGTTGTAAAAAAAATGCTTATAAAAGCCTCTGACGAGCCCAGCTGAGTTGCCTGATCATCAGAGGCTTTTTTTTCTTTTAAAAACATTTTTTCTACAACCTCTTCGGCCGAAGAGCTTGTAAAAAAATGCTTTTAAAAGCCTCTGATGATCCCAACTGAGTTGCCTGATCATCAGAAGCTTTTTTTTCTTTTAAAAACATTTTTTCTACAACCTCTTCGGCTGAAGAGGTTGTAACAAAAAAAAATGCTTATAAAAGCCTCTGACGATCCCAGCTGAGCTATGCAATCGTCAGAGGCTTTTTAAAAACTTTTAAAAGGATTTTTTCGGCTGAAGAGGTTGTAGAAAAAAATGCTTTTTTAAAAAAAAAAGCCTCTGATGATTGCGCGGCTGAACTGGGCATGGGGGGGGGCAGAGATTTTTGCTACCGGTTCTCCGAACCACCTGCCGCCATCGCTACTGGATCGGGTGATCCGGTCCGAACCGGGAGCATTTCACCCCTGATTTACTATCTTAATCCAGATTTCTAGATGGTGCCCAGTAATAGTACCATATAACATATAACATACAGCAAATAACATACAACACTTCTAACTTCTTCCTTGTTCCCATCCGAAGAGAGAAAAATTGGAAGCGTACAAAGAGACAAAAGAAAACAAGAAACCAAACAAACGTTGGATGAAAAGGTGAAGAAAACCACAATCAGTGAAAATAAAAAGAATATTTCTTAACGTTAAACGTTTAAGGAGTCTCTGGATGTGGGAGATTGGAGAAGCTGATGTGAGGGAAACAAACAACGCTGAAGAGTTTCGTCATAATAAAAAATATATACTCCCGCAAAGCTGTGGCAAATCCAGTCAGAAAACGACAGATAAGATCCCTGAATAGCAGCTTATTTGATCCCAACGGAAGGCAGGCAGAGGGGAAATCTGGAGAGTGTAAATTTACAAATGGCTTTTCAAAAGCGAGATTGTGCCCCCACAGTCCTTCTGTTACACTTGATAGTAAAACACTATCGTCTAGCCGAAGTTGCCTCTGATATCTTGCCGTGCAAGGTTGGACAAAAAAAAAAACGAGGCCTGTTGTTACAGCTGCTTCCTGAACGGGGATGCCAAGAGTGAGACTCAGACATCGGAAGAAAGCAAAGTGCTTTCTATTCAGGGCTACAAGCTTAACAATTGAGGGACTTCCCTGGTTCCTGTACAGATGTGATCAGAAAAAGGATGGGAACGGCCTCGAAGGTGGACCAGGATGCTATCTATAGGCTCAATTGTGGTCGTATGTTGAGGACTCCCATGTTTTCCCGAAAATAAGACCAGGTTTTATATTAATTTTTGCTCCAAAAAACGCATTAGGGCTTATTTTCCAGTTAGGTCTTATTTTGGGGAAAATACGGTACTAAATGCAGCCGTCTAGCTGACAATCTTAACCGGGGCTTATTTTGGGGGTAGGGCTTATATTACGAGCATCCTGAAAAATCATGCTAGGGCTTATTTTCTGGTTGGGTCTTATTTTCGGGGAAACAGGGTATCTACCAGGGGTGAAATCCAGCAGGTTCTGACAGGTTCTGGAGAACCGGTGGTGGAAATTTTGAGCAGTTCAGAGAACCAGTAGCAGAAATTTTGAGTAGTTCGGAGAACCAGCAAATACCACCTCTGGCTGGCTCCAGAGTGGGGTGGGAATGGAGATTTTGCAATATCCTTCCCACAGGAGTGGGGAGGGAATGGGGATTTTGCAGTATCCTTCCCCTGCCATGCCCACCAAGCCACCCCACACCCACCAAGCCACGCCCACAGAACCGGTAGTAAAAAAATTTGGATTTCACCACTGGTATCGACATTAAGTAAGTAAAAGATTCCAGATACAGCATGAGAAATGCGACATTATCTTCCTCTACGTCGACATACCTCATTTCCCCTGAAACTTTCAGTCGATCCCAGATCTCTTTATCTTTTGGGGTGATAGACGCTTTCCCACAACTCAGAAAGCCTGCTTGAGAAGGGCTAACGTGGGTTGGTTTCTTAGCCAGGCCATGACTTTGTGTCTCAGGAATTTTTGCTTTGCCTTCGTCCTGCAAGGATCGTTGATCTTCCCTCAGCGTCTCTGGCTTGGCCGAAGTCATGGGTATCTTTTTCCCACTAGTGTAATATTCGTTCCCAAAAATCAGCAAAGAAAGATTCCGTAGGAGAAGACAAAGGACAAACCACACGCCATCAGTGAAGTCCCAACCTTACAACCTGAAGCGCTGCCTAAATTAGGAGGAGCACAGAAACCTCTCCCATGGTTTACCTCTTGAATAGCATCCGCCATTTTTTTTTTAAAAAAATCACCATTATCCTTACTATGATTATCTCTGTTATTTTACTAGGAGGTTTTAGCATGGAGTTCCCCCAACGTTTCCTGCTTTGCGGACGGTGGCGGGGAGAGGGGATGGTTCTGCGCGAGCGGCCAACAAGCACGCATGCAGCTCCATATGCACGAGCGGTGCACATACCATTCACACAAATTGGAGCACGCGCAAACACTCCTGCTGCTCGGGTAAGTGAAGGTGTGAATGTGGGCACGTTTGCTGACCGTTTCCACAGCCCGGTGACAAACTCCTCGTGGCCAGCATCCCCTAACCCTAACCCTAACTCTTCAATTCAAAAAAGGCAAAGATGTAACGTGAAAATGTGGAAAAAGAGAAGGTACAGTTGAGCCACCTTAAGATCTTAGAACAACTGCTGCCAAACTTTTGGGTACCAGGGACCAGTTCCGCGGAGAGAGGGGGACCGGAGGGGGCGTGGTTGCACATGCCCGGTTTCTGGCCTGTTGTGGACCGTTGCCGGGCCACAGACCGGAGGTTGGGAACCCCTGTCCTAGAATATCCAACTTCAAGGTCAGAGCTGCTCTCTACAGCTTGAAACTCTGCAGGGTCAAACTCAACTCTATCGATGCTTTTTCCTGCACTAAGTTTACAGCGATATCTAATTTTGACCGTTACAAAGCCTACTTTCCCACACTCTCGTGAATTCAGAGTTTTGCTTCCAAATATAGCAGCTGGTGGGAGTTTTTGCTGGCGCTAAGAACTTCACCAGGGCCAAAGCTGGCATCTCAGACAGTCCTGATATGTATGTTCTTCAGAGACCTTTCCAAGACATGACTCATTCTGGAGAGGCAGACTAGAAAATGTTGACACAGAGACTCTGTCCCCAAAAGGAGACTTTTTTTTTTTATCTGCCTTAAAAGCCGCTGAAACAGGCAGATCTTGGGAGAGATTTTTTTTTTTTTCTGAAACTCAAGCTGGGAGAGCCGATTATCCCGCCATTCCCTTTGGCAAAAGGACAGGCGTATTCTTTATGTGCAAAGTACAAATAAACAGAAAGTATTATACTTGTGACCTCTGGAAAGGCTACTATTTGACACTTTACTATAAATTATACCTTTGGGTTTTGAAGGGGGGGGAATGCATTAAATTTTCAGAGAGAGAGGGGGGAGGGAGAGGGAGGGAGGGAGGGAAAGAGAAATGAAGGGAGAGAAAGAAAAGAAAGAAAGAAAGAAAGAAATGAAGGGAGAGAAAGAAAGAAAGAAAGAAAGAAAGAAAGAAAGAAAGAAAGAAAGAAAGAAAGAAGTAGGAGGGGGAGGGGGAGAGGAGGGAAAGAAAAAGGTGGAAAAGTTGAAGAGTGAAAGGGAAAGGAGGAGGAAGATGGGAGAGACAGAGAGGAAGAGAGAGAGAAAGAGGGAAAGAAAAAAGAAAGGAAGGAAGGAAGAGACAGAGAGAGAGAGAAAGAAAGAAAATAAGACAGGAAGGAAGGAAGTGAGAGAGAAAAAAGAAAGAAAAAGAAAGAAAGAAAAAGAAAGAAAGAAAAAGAAAGAAAGAAAGAAAGAAAGAAGGAGGAGGAGGGGGAGAGGAGGGAAAGAAAAAGGTGGAAAAGTTGAAGGGTGAAAGGGAAAGGGAAGAGGAGGAGCAGGAAGCAAGGAGAAAGATGGGAGAGACAGAGAGGAAGAGAGGAAGAGAGAGAGAAAGAGGAAAAGAAAAAAGAAAGAAAGGAAGGAAGAGAGAGAGAGAGAGAAAGAAAGAAAATAAGACAGGAAGGAAGGAAGTGAGAGAGAGAAAAAAGAAAGAAAGAAAAAGAAAGAAAGAAAGAAAGAAAGAAAGAAAGAAAGAAAGAAAGGAAGAAAGAAATGCCATTTTACAATTTTCTTTGCTTTTTTTCATTTGGGAGTATTGAACTGATTGGACATGACCAAAACAAGCCATAGGGTTTTTTTTTTAAGGGGTGGAGTCAGACCAATTCAATTATACAAAATAAAAAAATCTGATGAGAGATTGCCCAAAGTTTTGAATCTTTTTTTTGGGGTGGGGTGGGGTGGGGGAAACCATTTTATTTTTAACAGACCCTAAGAGTATAATTTGCAAAAAAACCCATCTGAATTTATCTGAAATATATAAGGGAATCTATCATAGATAGTGTATTTTTCGGAGTATAAAACGCACCTTTTTCTCCCAAAAAAGAGGGTAAAAATCTGGGTGCATCTTATACTTCGAATGTAGCCCCGCCCGGCTTCTCAAACGGAGGTTTCAGAGGCTGAAAAAAGCATCAGAAACTAAGCTTCAGAAAAAAAGCCTCCAAACAGAGCTTCAGAAAAAAAGCCCCCAAACAGAGCTTCAGAAAAAAAGCCTCCAAACAGAGCTTCAGAAAAAAAAGCCCCCAAACAGAGCTTCGGAGGCTTTTTTTCTGAAGCTCTGTTTCGGAGGCTTTCAGAGGCAGGAAAAAAAGTTGTTTCAGAAGTTTCAAAGGCAGAAAAAAAAGCCAAAAAAAGCAAGGCACAGAGCTCACAACCAAGGAACCTGTTGCTAAAATTCACCTCTGGGAACAGCTGATTGGGGGTATTCCGGGAGGCCGATCCACCCACCAATCAGCTTTTTTCTTATTTTCCTCCCAAAAAACTAAGGTGCGTCTTATACTCCGAAAAATACGGTATGTTCGCTGCCTTGAATTACTTATACAAATAATACAGGATGACAAAAACACACCAAAAAAAAGAAAAAGAAAAAGAAAAAGAAAAAGGAAGAATACTGTTATCTTTCCAGAAAACAACAGTTTCTACTGAGACGCTAACCCCGTTTTTATGTCTAAATTTTGTAGAACTGACCCCCAAAATTGCCTAGCTGACACCTCATTGTAGTTCAGTTCTTGTATACTTTTTAAAAAGTTGGAATGAAGAGTAAAATATAGTACAAGTAGTCCTCAATTTACAACAGTATATAAATACAGTGACCGCTGAAAGTTACAATGGCACTGAAAAAAGCAACAGGACTATTTTTCACACTTATGACCGTTGCAGCATCTTCAGGGTCACATGGGCAAAATTCAGAAGCTTGGCAACTGGCATGGACTTATGACGGTTGCAGTGTCTTGGGGTCATGGGGAAAACAGATTCACTTAACAACTATGCTACCGGCTTAGCAACTGTTGCTAAGTGAATGCAGCCATTCACTTAGCAACTGTGGCAAAAAAAGGTCGTAAAATGGAGCAAAACTCACCGAACAAACCATCCTGTTTAGCAACAAAAATCTAGGGCTCAATTATGGCCGTATGTTGAGGACTCCTCAAAATTGGGGTATCTAGTCTAGCTCAGCGCATCTAGACCACTATGCAGGTTGTCCTCGACTTATGGTGACAATTTGGCCCACATTTTGTGCTGCTCCGTTGAGATGACTGTTAAATGAGTTTTGCCCCATTTTACAATCTTTCTTGCCATGGTCGCTAAGTGAATCACTGTAGTGGTTAAGTTAGCAACACGGTTGTTAAGCAAATCTGGCTTTTCCGTTGACTTGGCTTGTCAGAAGGTCGCAGAAAGAGAATCACCAGGATCCCGGGACTCTGCGACTGTCGTAAGTATGAACCAATTGCCAAGGGTTTGAATTTTGATCGTGTGACTGTAAGGAGGCCGCAACGGTCGTAAGGGTGAAAAATGGTCACAAATCACTTTCTTCGGTTAACACTGTGACTTTGAACGGTCGCTAAATGAACTGTCATAACTTGAGGACTGCCTGTATTTATGTAACATGGCCGAGTTTATATCTGGGTCCAACTTCGGCTGCGGGAACCCCACGGACGTACAGGGACATCAAATGGCATTTTCCTCCTATTTTCAAACTCCACTCCTGCCACAAACAAATAGGCGCGCACACCTGAGACGTTCCCGATTTTTTGTGCGTATCTTCCTTTCTTCCCTTCGATTCCGATCTTTCTTGGCAGAAGGAGGAAGGAGGAAGTGAGTAAATGGCAAGGCAGCTTCGCGGCAGTTGAGCCTCGCTCTCCGGACGGCAAAATCGTCTTTCTCTAGGTCGGGAATTCTACCGTCTTCGTCCTCTTCAGGGCCCGTATTGTTTTGCGGACAGCACCACATAAAAGGGTTTTCTTGGCGGAGGATGACGTCCGGGGTGAGCTCATCCCCTCGACCCGCGGGCTTTGGACTGGGGCGCCGCGAAGTGAAATGAGAAACCCAGATGTGAAACAGACCAAGAATCGCACTGCTCTTTGTTAAGGAAGACAAGAATAAACGCCACACGCATGCTTTTTAGTGGAAACAAATCTGATCGGTCACTCTCTCATCGTATTCCACTACAACCCCCATAATCCCTAGGCATCCAACTTTTGGGACTGTTGCTGGAGATGACGGGCGTTGTAGGTCGACGTCTCTCCATGCGGCAAAAGCTGAAAATCCATGCATAAAACATGTAGCGGCGCTAAAATTTTATAGCTTTGTAAGCGGACCAAACACGGACACATTAAGGGGTGGCGTCTCTTATATATTTTAGAAAAGATCACTCTTCTCATATACGGGTCGTCCTCAATTTACGGCCACAACATTTCGGTGTCTAAGTGAAAAATTGGATCGGCGAGTTTTGCCCCCCCCCGATTTTCTCCCCACATTTGTTAAGTGAATCCCTGCTGTTCTCAAATTAGTAACACAGCTGTGAAGTGAAACTGGTTTTTCCCCCTTGACTTGGCTTGTCAGAAGGTCCAAAAGGGGATCACCCAAGTCCCGGCTCCATGAATTTAATCGACCCTTATCTAGCGCTAATTTCACTTGGACCATGAATAACCGAAAGCCCTATCAATTGTGGAGCCGACCAGCAACAGGGAGCCACAGCAGAGGAATGAAAGAGCCACATGCGGCTCCAGAGCCGCAGGTTGCTCACCCCTGGTCTAGGACAACTCACGGTGGCCAGGTGGACACGGATGGGAGGGTGCAGATGGAGGGTCGCAGCTGGGCCACGCCCACCCATTCGTGCCCACCAAGTCGCACCCACCACTCCACACCAACCTGGCCTCGGGTCGTCCCATTCCGGAGCTACAAATATTCTCTTCCGCTTTGTTGGTTGTCCATGTGTGTTAGCAATTTTGGAGCGGGTGGAAAAGCTGTCAGGCTGGGGCCCCAAGGCCCTTCGCCTCTTCCGAACACATATGTTGAGCATCCCGTGTCCAACGTAACTGCTGATCCAAGAACACAGAGCCAAGGATCTAAAGTGGAAACGTACCACTGCGTTCTGCCCCGCTGGATGACTTCTCTTAAAATAAACAGGATGAAAGAGGCCGACAGGGAGCGAAGTAGTTCAGGCCCAAGGCTATCACTGAAGTCCAAGGGCCACGCATGAATTTCACGACACTCCACAGACAGGGAAGGGTTGTTAATACAGCGCTATAAAAATCGCACCTGAGTTTAGCCTACGCCGTTGCAAACAAGCTGGGCCAGCTGGCGTGTAAAAGAATGCCCTGTTTATTTTTGCATTTATTATGCTAACTCACACATCCGCCGCAACTCATGACTTCCAGATGTGCACGGAACCTCTTCGACACTTGCTGTTCAGCTTTCGTTTCCAAAGTTTCGTTGTGGGACGCGCCCCGAGAAAAGTTCTACACCTCTTCAAGCCTCAAATGCTCAGAATAATCAAAGTAGCTAATTCCAGCCAGAGATATCCTCACTTTTTTTTTTTTAATTCTTTTTAAAGCTTCCATAATTTCTGGCCCAGGAATCTGGCTGAAGTCGTAAAGTCAGGCAAAATTAGGACTCCGTTTCTTGGGGGGGTGTGGGGGAATTAACTTGGATTTTGCAGTCTTTGGCAGCTCTGTGGCCTTGCTCATTTCAGTAAAGGGTTCCCGTAGCCAGATTTTGCTCTAGTGCTTGGAACAAATTTGGAATGATCTCTACTGGAGCGAAATGAAATCTGGACTTGTGCGGCTGGGTGGATGTGAGCGCAAAAGCATACACGCTATGTGACAAGGCAGATGGCATGAGACTTTTCGTCTACTACCCTTGGCCACGCCTCCTTCTCCCCCAGCGTTCCTCTTCGGGCGATTCTCCTCTGACTTTTCTCCTCGGTTGACACACCGCCACTCATTCGTCCTGGGCAATTGGCCATGGTTCCTCTGTCCCATGCGCTTCAGCACAACCGATTCACCAAAAGCGAGTTCGTCCTGGGTTTTTTGCCGCCTGGGACAGTTAGCCGCCAACCCATCAGCTAGCTGCCAATGCTGGCAGCCATAAGCCAAGCCAAACGCTTGTTAGGAGAAGGAACGGAAGGGTTCTAACAAGCGTTTGGCTTTCCTAAAGCCACTTAGTCGGAGTCTTAGTCTTTATTTGATTTATATACCGCCCTACTCCCGAAGGACTCAGGGCGGTGAACAGCCAAACAATAAAATACATAAATACAAAATTTAAAAAACAGAATAAAATCGAATTAAACAAATTTGGCCTAGATAGATTTAAAACACCCCAATCATTTAAAAACAGATTAAAATTTACATATTAAAAAAGAAAAAGGGGAATAAGATTAGGCCAGGCCCGCCTGGTGGAATAAAAAGGTCTTGAGAGCGCGGCGGAAGGTGCGCAGATCCGGGATCCTCCGTATCTCCGGGGGGAGCTCATTCCAGATAGTAGGTGCCCCCACAGAGAAGGCTCTCCCCCTGGGGGCCGCCAGTCGACATTGTTTGGCTGATGGCACCCGGAGGAGCCCCTCTCTATGAAAGCGTACCGGCTGGTGGGAAGCTATTGGTGGTAGTAAGCGGTCCTGTAAGTAATGAGGTCCTAAACCATGGAGCGCTCTAAAGGTGGTAACCAAAACCTTGAAGCGCACCCGGAAGACCACCGGGAGCCAGTGCAGTTCGCGCAGGAGAGGTGTTACATGGGAACGCCATGTCGCTCCCATTACCACCTGCGGGGCCGCACTCTGCCCCAGTTGGAGCCTCTGGGTGCTCCTCAAGGGGAGCCCCATGTAGAGAGCGTTACAATAGTCCAGGCGGGATGTGACAAGGGCATGAGTGACTGTGCGTAAGGAGTCCCGATCCAGAAAGGGGCGCATTTATTGGCAACTAGCTGATTGGTTGGTGACTAACTGTCCCAAGCGGCGAAAAACCCAGGATGAACCCTCCTTCGGTGAATCAGCCACGCCGAAGTGTGTGGGACAGAGGGGCCGTTGCCCATTGCCTAAGGCGAATGAGTGGGGGCGTGTCAGCGAAGGAGAAAAGTCAGAGGAGAATCGCCAGAGAAGGAACGCTGGGGGTGGGAAGGAAGCACGGCTAAGGGTAGGAGACAAAAAGTCCTAGACCCCAAGGCAGATTCCCCTTTTATTGTAAGCCACTCGGTGGGTGCAATTCTGTTTAGATCATGGCCAACATCGCTGTATCTGACCTCAACCTACTAGAGATAGTCCTTGACTTACAACAGTTAGTTCACTGAAGAAGCTTCTTGGATGAGAAGAGAAACGTCTTCAAGGAGAAACAAAGTCCAGTGATCTTCTGAAAAAGCAGCTTTGGGAACTTTTTAAGTTAGCCTACTTACCCTGACAGAATTGAGCCGTTGTAACTCTGAACTGTCACTAAGTGAACCGTTGTAAGTCGAGGACAATCTGTAGCTTCCTAGTCATTGTGAGATACCTTGGAATCCTTAAGACCAAGTGTGGGATTCAGCCAGTTCTGACCAGTTCAGGCGAACCGGATGTTAATTTTAATCTGGTTCATCGAACCGGTAGTTGCAAGGACTGGCTGACTCCGCCCACCCTGCCCCTCCCCTCCCAGGAGTCTCCACACAGCCCGTTTTGGATGCAGTTTTGGATGCAGGACCTGCACAGAGGTTCTGGGAGGGCGAAAAACGGGCCTACCGGAAGTACCGGAAATCCAGAAATGGGCCCGTTTCCAGCCTCCAGAGGGCCTCCGGAGCCCAGGGGAGGCTGTTTTCGCTCTCCCAGAGGCTCGAGGAATACCTCTGAAGCCCGGGGAGGGCAAAAAACAGATCTATTGGAAGTACCAGAAGTCTGGAAACGAGGCTATTTCCGGTCTCTGGAGTCTGGAGGAGGCCGTTTTTGCCCTCCCGGAGGCTCAAAGAAAGCCTCCGGAGCCTGGGGAGGGCGAAAACAACCCCCCCATGGTACAGGAAGCTGACTAGGCCACGCCCCCATGGCCACGCCCACCCAGCTACCAGGCAGAGAAACCGGTTGCTATTTTTTTTCAATCCCACCCCTGCTTAAGACCGTAAAAAAAACCTATACAAGATTGTGAAAGTTTTCATCCCATCACAGCCAGCTTCTTTGCAACTCTGGCCAGAGTAGCAGCTATTGAGTTAATCCTGAGCAGCTTCTGGAGAACAATTTGCTCTCAGTCCGCCGTACGGCTTTTCCCCGGCCAGCAAATTTGAGCCTGGCACTTACGCTGTTTGTGTCCTGGAAAGCGAGGTCAGTTTCTCAACTGAATCTGAACAAAGATCTCCTTCAGTCAAGTTTGACTCCTGCCAACTATCCTCTTCCTTCAATTTTTTCTCTCCCCATAATCGCCTTGTGGTCTCCTTTGCAAGTCTTACCAAGCTCCAACTCAACGTAGCTTCTTGGCCCAGACAAAGTCAGCTACAGGTAGCCCTCGACCTTCCACCACAATCATCTCCTTTTAATGACCCCATAATCCCTTGTGGGGTAGAGTCTGGGCAACTGAATGGAACTGAGTGTTTTACTGGCCGGATGCCTTTCCTGTTACCAATACGGAGTTATCTTCAGCAGATATATTCTCATTGTTCCCAGAGAAAGAAATATCTGCCTCTACCTAGGATCAAACTCACAGCCTCCTGATTCTGATGCCACTGCACCAGTCAATCTTCCATCACAACGGAGCCCAAAATTTCTGTTGCTAAGCAACTCAGTTGCCGAGTGAGTTTTGCCCTGTTTTACGACTTTCCTTGCCACGGTTGTTAAGTGAATCACTACAGTTGTTTAGTAGGGTGGTTGTTAATCTAATCAGGCTTCCTTATTGACTTTGCTTGTCTGAAGGTTGCAAAACAAGATCACTCGACTCCCGGATACTGCAACCGTCATAAATATGAGTCAGTTACCAAGCATCTAAATTTTGATCCTATGATCATGGGGATGCTGCACCGGTTGTAAGTGTAGGAGATGATCAGGCTGAGCCTGAGGGAGGGGATAAACACGTCATAAGTCGCAAGTCCCTGCGCACCCACAAGAGATCTAAGTCCAGCCCATTTTGAATCCTTCTTATCCCCCGCTCATTTCCCTTGACTGTTAGTTGGTCAGATTCTTGTAGAGAACTTAAGCTTGTAATAAATCTCGATACTCATTTGAAGTGTCTGGACCTCCTGGTTTCCCCGACAGTTAAGTGTGAAAAAGGCTTACAAGTCCCTTTTTTCAGTGCCATTGTAGCCTTGAATGCCGATTAAATGAATTGTCGTAAGACGGCCCTCTCAATTCCTGGCAAATAGATGGGGAAGAAATGGAGGTAGTGACAGATTTTATTTTCCTGGGCTCCAAGATCACCGCAGATGCAGCCAAGAAATTAAAAGACGTTTGCTCCCGGGGAGGAAAGCTATGGCAAATCTAGACAGCATACTAAAAAGCAGAGACATCACCCTGCCAACAAAAGTGCGTATAGTCATGGATATGGTTTTCGAGTTATAATGTATGGCTGGGAAAGTTGGACCATAAGAAAGGCTGAGAAGGCCAAAGAATGGAGGCCTTTGAACTCTGGTGCTGGAGAAGACTCCTGCGAGTCCCTTGGATTGCAAGGCCATCCAACCGGTCAGTCCTAGAGGAGATCAACCCTGACTGCTCTTTAAAAGGCCAGATCTTGAGGATGAAACTCAAATCTTTTGACCACCTGATGAGAAGGAAAGACTCACTGGAGAAGAGCCAAATGCTGGGAAAGATGGAGGGCAAAAGAAGAAGAAGAGGACGGCAGAGAACGAGGTGGCTGGATGGAGTCACCGAAGCAGTCGGCGTGAGCTTCAATGGACTCCAGAGGATGGTAGAGGACAGGAAGGCCTGGAGGAACGTTGTCCATGGGGTTGAGTTGGGTCGGACATGACTTTGCAACTAACAACAACAACAAGCCAAGAACTATCTGTTAAGTTCTTCCATCTGCTAGGATAAAAGAAAATAGAGGAAAGGGACTTGTGCTCAGCCACAATTCCTAACCTCTCCTATGATCACACTTCATCATTGGGTCAAGTATAAAAATGCATTAAAGTTTATAAATTATAATGTAAGTTATAAATCATAAATTACAATTATAAATTATAATTATAAATCAATACCCCAATGTCACAACTGGCACAGAATCTTCTCTTGTGGTCAGTTACAGAATGCTATTTTCATGCGGTAATAGAGAAGTAGAAACAAGCTACATTTTTCCTTTTTTTTTTTTTTAATCATTCTGGTTTGGAAGACAGCTTCCCTTAACGTGTTTCTTGATTAATCCAAACACAAGCATCGGACAAAAGTCTCACTCAGCACACCAAATATTTAAGAACTGTTTTAGTCTTGTTACGGCAATCACAAACCGATGCAAGCATCGCCACTAAGTTGGCGATGCGAAGCTTCACGTTTCTTAAGGCTTCTTGTGATTCCCCCCCCCAAAATAAATAAAATTGCAGGCGTTTATTTGGTTAATTTTGGTTGCTACCCTGTTTCTCCGAAAATAAGACCTCCCCTGATAATAAGCCCAATCGGGCTTTTGAGAGCATGCGCTAAAATAAGTCTCCCCGCCCCCGAAAATAAGCCCTCCCTGAAAATATTTAAACGCAGAGCTGGAAATCAGGTAAGACGGCAAGAGGAGCCCCATCTTTCTCCACGTGCCCCAAAATAATAAGACCGCCCTAAAAATAAGGCCAAGCACCTATTTCGGGATTCAAAAAAAAATATAAGACAGGGTCTTATTTTCGGGAGAACACGGTAGGAAAAGGGATATGACCATACGTTAAAAAACAAAACAAAATACCAACAACTGGAACACACAGCAAATCGTCATCTCCTTTTAATGACTCCATAATCCCTTGCGGGGTGGAGTCTGGGCAACTGAATGGAGTTAGCAGAGTGTTTACTGGCCGGATGCCCTTCCCTGTTGCCAATGCGGAGTTTTGTTCAGCAGATATATTCTCATTGTGCCCAGAGAGAAAAATATCTGCCTCTGTCTAGGATCGAACTCACAGCCTCCTGATTGTGAGGCAAGACCTCCACCTCTAGGCCATTGCACTGTTCTGGAACACACAGCAAATGCTACAAATGAAACGCATGCCAGGCCAAATTTCTAACCTGCCGCCACAGCGGTGAGCTGCTGGCCTGACCTTAATACCAGCCTGTTCCAACCTTCTCAGCTTCCCGATTTCCTCCGGACCTTTTTCCTCGTTTTGGGGAGCTGTTGTTTGGTTATCAGAACAGGTGAGAAACTGAGGCCAAGGGTTCTTTGGACCCATGTCTGTCTGCACAGGCTTCGCGGAGGGGGAGGCAATGGTCGTCCTGCTGCTCACGAGGTCCCCATCGAGTGGCACCTGGGGTTCTTCTTCTATGGTTTCAGGATGCTGTTTGCTATGGAGTTATATATAGGTTATTAGGGAATGGGACAGCGTGTCACCGCGAACTCGCTGCGGACAACTTGCCATGGCCAATTCGCCAGGAGACAACATTCTGCGGAGCCATTTAACAATTCTATTTCATTATTTAAAATAAATAAGGTAAAGGTTTCCCTCACACATACGTGCTAGTCGTTCCCGACTCTAGGGGGCGGTGCTCATCTCCATTTCAAAGCCAAAGCGCTAGCGCTAACCGAAGACGTCTCCGTGATCATGTGGCCGGCATGACTGAATGCCAAAGGCACACGGAACGCTGTTCCCTTCCCACCAAAGATGGTCCCTATTTTTTCTACTTGCATTTTTTTACCTGCTTTTGAACTGCTAGGTTGGCAGAAGCTGGGACAAGGAACGGGAGCTCACCCCATTACGCGGCACTAGGGAGTCAAACCGCTGAACTGCCAACCTTTTGATTGACAAGCTCAGCATCTTAGCCGCTGAGCCACCGCGTCCCTTTAAAATAAATACAAACCATTTGAATTTTTGCTATTCACATTTCATTCTGTCCCTGCTTTTGCCTCCTTTCCTTTAATAATTCTGTTCCAGCATTTCTTTGATATTAGTGTTAACTCTTGTCCCGCAGCAAGTTGTTTTGCAGCGAGTTGGCCGTGGTGAGAGTTGGCCGTGGCGAATTGTCACAGCCCCTATTATTATGTAGCACATGTCTGATTCCTTAGAACAGGGGTGTCAAACTCAAGGCCGGGGGGCTGGATCTGCTTAGATCTGGTCTGCAGGGCCCCCCCATGGAAACAACGAAGGACCGGCCCACGGTGCCTCTGCCAGCAAAAACGGACTCCCGAGCTCCGTTTTTGGCTGCGACAGCCTCCTGCAACCAGGGCTGAAATGCTACCGGTTCGGACCGGTTATCCTGAACCAGTAGTAAAAACTGCTACCGGGTTCGGGCGAACCAGTATTTCCGACAATCAGCTGTATTAGCTAGAATCGTCAGATTTCCTGCTTTCTAGCTAATGTAAATCGCGTGGCGCAGTGGAGTCCCTCACCCCCACTGTTCTACTTACCTTTGCAGACTCGGAAGGCTTCAAAATGTTCCTTTTTTAGCGCTGCGCGGGCGGGCCTCAGGCACACATGTACGCAAAGTGTGCATGCGCGCGCTCGGTAGCAGACTCACAGAACCAGTAGCAGACTTCAGAGGATTTCACCGCTGCCTGCAACCCTCTGCCAGCGAAAACAGAGCTCGGGAGCTTTCCCGAGCTGTTTTTGCTGGCAGAGTGCTCGGGCCACCACAGGCGCCCCTGACATGAGTGACGTCGAGCTGGCCACGCCCATCCAGGCCACGCCCACTCCAGCCCTCCCCCCGGAGGTAAAATACAACCCTGATGTGGCCCTCTATGAAGTCGAATTTGACACCCCTGCCTTAGAACATAGAATAACAGAGTTGGGAGGGACATTGGAGGTCTTCTAGTCCAACCCCCTGCTCGAGCAGGAAACCCTATATCTGTGATGGCGAACCTATGGCATGCGTGCCACAGGCAGCATGGGGAGCCATGTCGCCTGGCACGCCAGCTCAGCTCCGGCGCCGATCAGCTGATTTTCGGGCCTTCTGGGCCCACCAGAAATAGGGAAACAGGCTGTTTCCTGCTTCCAGAGGGCCTAGGGGGAGGAAGGCCTGTTTTTCTCTCACCTGGCTCCAGATCCTCTGTATGCATCTGGGGAGGGTGAAAACAACCTTCCCCATCCCCTCGGAGGCCCTCTCTAGGAGTCTCTGGAGGCAGGGGACAGCAAAAAAGTCACTTCCTGTACAACCGGAAGTTGGGAAACAGGCCATTTTGGGCCTCCGGAGGGCCTCCGAGGGGATGGGGAAGGCTGTTTTCACCCTCCCCAGATGCATAGAGAGGCTCTGGAGCCAGGTGAGAAAGAAAAACAGGCCTACCAGGCCATCGTGTGCCAGGAGTGGGGAGGGGGAGAAAGAGGGGGCGCACATGCACGGGGATGGGGTGCATAGAATTATTGGTGTGGGCACCCGCGTGCGCAAACTTCCCCCGCCCACCCCTTCCTGGCACACAATAGCAAAAGGTTAGCCATCACTGCCCTATATCATTTCAGACAAATGGTTGTCCCATTTCTTTTTGAAAGTCTCCAGTGTCTTGACTTTTTTGACTTTCTCAGTCCTCCCATAGACATCTCCCATGAGGATATTAAAAAAAAAGAGAGAGAGAGAGAGAGAATATTGGAAGGTTTTGAAAACGTCCGCCCAGCGTATGAACGCAAAGTAAAACAACCGTCTCGGAGAAACTTTTAGAACATCTGAAAAAGACTTCCGGTTTTCCAACTGCGCAACTGATAGGAAAGCATCCGTTTCGAAACAAAACAGCAAACGATTTAAGATGGGAGGCAACCCAAATTCCATCCACGGAGGAAAGCCACACTGGTTTAAGTGTTAAGATTCTCAGGAAAAAAACCTCGATTTTGAGAGGACTACAAAACTATCGGGTGAGACTTCCGGTGGCTCCGCAGACGTCGAGGACATGGCCCCACTAGGGGACATCATCATCAGTGCTAGAAGGGAGTGGGTTTTATGGAATGGAGGAGAAAGGGAAGGGGAGAGGAGGAGGAGGACTGCGGGGTCCTTGGTACTCTCTGAGCTTGGTTGTTTTCTTGCAGATGTTTCATTACCCAGCTAGGTTATAACATCAGTGCTCGAGAGAATCGGGTTTTCTCTAGCCTTCACCAAGGACCGCACAGTTCAATCCTGAACTACAAAATATTCTCTTCTTGTTGGGGGGGGGGTGTACATGTCCGTGGACCACATGACTTGGTCGTCTGAAGTTTGGTCAAGGAGACCTTACCTGAAAGGTCTTTCTCCTCCTAGCGGAGAGGTCATCGTGCTCCAACTCTTCCGGAAGTCATCTCGTTCGGCTTTCTTCTTCCGGAGTGGCGCTGGGATATAGGCAGTCTGGTTACTTTTATTGGGAAGGTATTGGTTAAAAGGCACGACTGATTTGGGTTCGCTGTAAGATGTTCGCCGGGCAGACATGTCATCCTTCTTCACGTCTGGCAGCTTTCGATGCGGTAGGTCAGACTCCGAATCGCTTCCTCTTCCTGTTTGGAAAAAAACAAACAAACCGTAAGCAAAGTTTCCAAATAGAACCGAATGTGTGCGCCACAATGCAAATAAGTCCGCTGATTCAGCCACAATGGGATCGTCCTTCTCTTTCCGGTCTCAAAATGTTACCAGCTGGCAGACTTAAGACATGAAGTAGGGCTGCCTTGCTCTTATCCTTCTCGTCTTTCCTACTACCTTCTCCTATTGGTACCTTACGATTTGGTGTTTATAGGTTATGATTTATGACGGCGTCTAATGGATTTATGATCTAGGATTTATCACTTTGTTGTTTGTATGGGCACTGAGAGCTTATGCACGGGAGGCAAATTCCTGGTTATGTCAAATCACATTTGCTCAATAAAGAATATTCTGTTGTGTTCGGTTCTGTTCTGTTCTGTTCTGTTCTGTTGCGTTGCGTTCTATTCTTAGATTATTAACTGCCTTATTCTATTTTATGGTTTATGATTGTATCTTGTTATTTATAATATATGACTTATCACTTTGTTGTCTGTATGTACACTGAGAGCTTACGCACTGGAGACAAATTCCTTGGGTGTCCAATCACATATGACCAATAAAGAAATGTTCTGTTCTGTTCTATTCTATTCTGTTCTGTTCTGTTCTACTCTATTCTTCATTCCATTCCATTCCATTCTATATTCCATTAATTCTATTCTACTCTACTCTACGCTTCATTCCATTATTCTATTCTATTCTTTCTATTCTGTTCTGTTCTGTTCTACTCTATTCTTCATTCCATTATTCTGTTCTGTTCTGTTCTGTTCTACTCTACTCTATTCTATGCTTCATTCCACTATTCTATTCTATTCTATTCTGTTCTGTTCTGTTCTGTTCTGTTCTGTTCTGTTTTGTTCTACTCTACACTTCATTCCATTATTTTATTCTATTCTGTTCTGTTCTGTTCTACTCTATTCTTCATTCCATTCCATTCCATTCCATTCCATTCCATTCCATTCCATTCCATTCCATTCCATTCCATTCCACATTCCATTAATTCTATTCTACTCTACGCTTCATTCCATTATTCTATTCTGTTCTGTTCTGTTCTGTTCTGTTCTGTTCTACTCTATTCTTCATTCCATTATTCTATTCTGTTCTGTTCTGTTCTACTCTATGCTTTTCTATTACTCTATTCTATTCTGTTCTGTTCTGTTCTGTTCTATTTTATTCTACTCTACTCTACTCTTCATTCCATTATTCTATTCTATTGTTCTGTTCTGTTCTGTTCTACTCTACTCTTTATTCCATTGTTCTGTTCTGTTCTATTTCTACTCTACTCTACTCTACTCTACTCTACTCTACTCTACTCTATTCTTCATTCCATTATCCCATCCCATCCCATCCCATCCCATCCTTAGATTACTAACTGCTTTATTCTGTGGATAAAGCAAGGAATGTAATTTCCAATATGCAGAATTTGAGATTCACCAATGATAATTCAGTGGGGGAGAAAGGATGGAATCATTAGATAATATATTAATATAGTTAGAGGCTTCACCAAAGGAATTCAGCCAAATTTCTCTCGCCACGATTCTCCTTCCAACACTAGGAGTCTTGTATGCCAAGTAGGCCAGTCTTTCTTTTTCCCCCTTTTTTTTGTTTCTAGGTAGCTAATTGAAACTCAAAAGTTTAAGCTGAAAAGAGACACTGGAAATGCAAATTGAGGGGGGGAAAAGACCTTTGAGGGAAAGGGAGCAGAGAAAGGAGCTCGGTTTCTGCATTCTAAATGCCTTTCTTGCAAAGAAATGTTATATGACACAGCAACACCACAGTCCATCTAAAAGGGGCAGGATGGAAATTTGGAGAATGGAGATTTCATCCTTAACAGCAAAAACTAAGAACGAGAAAACTATTTCAGAGGAGACCAAAGGGGGGGGCGAATTCCAAAGTTATTTAAGACATAAATATTTAAGCAATCATCTAAGGTGTTTAATTCTCTACTCTCCAAGCAATATCAAACAAAGAGCTTAAAAAGAGCAAATATATACCCTGTTTTCCCCAAAATAAGACCCAACCAGAAAATAAGCCCTAGCACGATTTTTCAGGATGCTCGTAATATACACCCTACCCCAAAAATAAGCTCCAGTTAAGATCGTCAGCAGACGGAGGTGTTTAGTACTGTATTTCCCCCAAATAACCGGAAAATAAGCCATAATGCGTCTTTTGGAGCAAAAATAAATATAAGACCCAGTTTTGTAAAATAATGATAAATAAATATCATTATTTATTAATAAACAAATTATTAAATATCATTATTAAATAATTATTTAATAATTATTTAATAATTATTATTATCATCATCATATAAAATAATGATCAATACATTTGTTCTTACTGGTAGTAAAGAGCAAAGGTTAACCAGAAGTTCAGTAAATGCAACATTAAATTTGGGCTACAAAAATTCTCATGCAACTCCAAAGTTTGGTGAAGACTTTGGACCATCAGGTCTATAAGGATAAACTTAAGATAACAACTACACCTTCTTGCAATGAAACCTTGTGACAAGCGGCTTAAAATCAGTGAGACCCACCGCGCATAGTTCTATGTTCAATCGTTGGTTTAAATGCTGCACTTTCATTGCATTATTTGGGAAAGTAAGAAAAACATTACAGTAATTTTCCTTCTTGACAATTCTTTGGCGATTTTGCTCAAGAGGACCGAAGAGCACGATAAAAATCACTCCCGTAAAGAAAATATCTCTACTGTATTGTAGCTACTCTGTTTTTGTTAGCACTATCCATTAGAAAAATATTTTTGCTAACTATGTTTAGATTCATATTATAGCTACTCTATTCAATTCAATCTTTATTAGGGTCCGTCACAAAACGTGAAATATTAAAAGAAAGCAAAAGTGAGCAGAACCGAACCGAACAAGGCACAGAGATATATTACAATATAGCTCCTCTACTTTTGTTAGCAGTCCCCATTGGAAAGCAATTTTGCTAACAATTTTTAAATGACCTAATACTTTTATTAGCAGTCTCCATTAGAAAGCATTTTGGCTAACGATTTTTAGATAACTATTAAAGCTACTCTAGTCCTTTGCTTAGCAGTCCCCATTTGAAATAATTTTTGCTAACAATTTTTAAATGACCATTACAGCTACCCTAATACTTTTATTAGCAGTACCCATTACAAAGCAATTTTGCTAACATTTTTTTTAAAAAAATTGATTTATATGCCGCCCTTCTCCGGAGACTCAGGGCGGCTTACAATGCGCTAAGCAATAGCCTTCATCTTTTTTGTACATTTATACAAAGTCAGCTTATTGCCCCCACAAACTGGGTCCTCATTTCACCTACCTTAGAAAGAATGGAAGGCTGAGTCAACCTTGAGCCTTGGCGAGATTCGAACCTGCAGTAATTGCAGGCAGCTGGTCTTAATAACAGGGTGCTTTCATTTATTGACCCTTGGAAGGCTGAGTCAACCTTGAGCCTGGGGAGATTTGAACTTGCAGTAATTGCAAGCAGCAGATGTTAATAACAGTGCTTTAGTCCACCGTACTACTCTGACGATCAGGCAACTCAGCTTGGATCATCAGAGGCATTTAAAAGAAAAAAAGCCTCTGATGATTGCACGGCTCAGCTGGGCATGGGGGGGGGCAGGGATTTTTGCTACCGATTCTCCGAACCACCCGTCTCCATCGCTACCGGATCGGGCGATCCGGTCTAAACCAGGAGCATTTCACCTCTGCCACATGCCAAAACAAACCGTCCAAATCAAACTTCTTTCCACTGTACACCAAGGTGGATTGTTTACATGCCAGAAGTCTGCTTCTCTTTAACTTTTGATCTTATGTTATTTGTGAAATCAATGCCTGCCTACTTACACTTTTTTTTTTTTTTTATTTGATTTATATGCCGCCCTTCTCCGGAGACTCAGGGCGGCTTACAGTGCGTTAAGCAATAGCCTTCATACTTTTGTATATTTATACAAAGTCAGCTTATTGCCCCCACAAACTGGGTCCTCATTTCACCTACCTTAGAAAGGATAGAAGGCTGAGTCAACCTTGAGCCTTGGAGAGATTCGAACCTGCAGTAATTGCAGGCAGCTGGTCTTAATAACAGGGTGCTTTAAACCACTGTAGTACCAAGGCTCTTCAGGGCACTTCAGATGGAGGAAATCCCACCTCAAAAATTTGAGACCTGGTGCAGCAACTATTCGTCCTACAGCTCACGGCTGGGAGTGGGGGAAAAAAAGACTTTAGCAGCTCTCCAAGAAGATTATCTCAAACTACTGGTAGTCCTCGACGTACGACCACAATTGAGCCCGACATTTCTGTTGTCAAGTGAGACCTTCGTTAAGTGAACGCTGCCGCATTTTACAACAGTTCCGTTTAGTGACCGTTCAGAGTTACCACAGCACTGGGGGAAAAAGTGACCTACGGCCATTTTTCACACTTACTGTACAACCGTTGCACCATCCCCATGGTCATGTGATGAAAATTGGGACGCTTGGCGGCTGGTTCGTCTTTATGATGGTTGCCATGTCCTGGGGTCAGTGGTGGGTTTCAAAAATTCTTACTACTGGTTTTGTGGGCATGGCTTGGTTGGCGTGGCTTGGTGGGCATGGCAGGAGAAGGACACTGTAAAATCTCCATTCCGTCCCCAATCCAGGGGAAGGTTACTGCAAAATCCCCATTTCCACCAGATCAGCTGGGACTTGGGAAGCAGAGAATAGATGGGGGCGGGGCCAGTCAGAATTTTTACTACCGGTTTTCCGAACTACTCAAAATTTCCGCTACCGGTTCTCCAGAACTGGTCAGAACCTGCTGAAACCCACCTCTGCCTGGGGTCATGTGACCCCCATTTTCACCGCTTAGAGAGGACTGGAAAGCACCGTGAAGTGGTATGTAAGTGTTGGGCCAGAACAAGAAGTCTAAGTACTATTGTTATTGCTCTTGCTATTCAACCTTCTGATAAGGAAAGTCAATGAGGAAGCCAGCTTCACTTAACAACTGTGCCACTCATTTAACGATTGTAGTGATTCACTTAACCACCGGGGCAAAGTTCACTTCACAAATGTCTCAACAACAGAAAAGTTTGGCCTCCACTGCGGGCGTAATCCGTCTTTTCTGAGGTAACCGAAATTCACATCGGGTTACCAAGAGAACATCCCGCAGAAGCCAGCTGTGGAAACTGTGGTATTTTACACCACGGGGTCGTACGTTATGTCCTGTCAGAAAGGGAGTTCTGGTTCCCTGGGGGGTTGGAGGTGGGGTGTGTGTGTGTGGCACAACTCACCATCGCTGCTCCCTCTCAGCACCACATCTGGAGAAGGGGTCTGCTGGGACCGGGACCCGAAGGAATCCAGACTGTCGAAGGAATCATCTCTGCCGTGACGCGGCGGGGAGAGAGAATCGCTACGCTCCGAATCCCAGCAATCTACGTAGCCGCTGTCGCGGATGCTGCGCTTTGGACTCTCGACGTCTTCCGTGTCCTGGTGAGGAACAGAAGCCTGGTTAGAAAGACGCGTCCTCTTAAGGCAGTTGTGTCAAACTAGATTTCTTCAAGGGCCAGATCAGCATTGTAGTTCTTCTCTGCGGGCCGGCCGGAGGGGCAGGGAAGGGAGGGGGAGACAGGACGGACACCTCCAGGCCGGCCAAAATGGGGCACAAGGGGGCCTCACGCGGCCCCCCGGTGCCCCATTTTTGGCTTGGACAGAGTCCTGCAGCACCCTGCCAGCCAAAACGGGGAATAGGGTGGGCCTCACGCAGCCCCCCAGACCCCATTTTCGGCCTGGACGGAGTCCTGCAGCACCCTGCTGGCCAAAACTGGTTTTGGCTGCCAGAGGCACCGCAGGCCGGTCGTTTGCTACTTCCAGGCCGGCCCCACAGGCCAGATTTGAGCACCCCTGCTCCTAGGCAAGGGTGCCCAATCTCCGGTCCGTGGAACCCCACTGGGCCACGACATGCCAGAAACCGGGCAGTGCAAACAAGCGAAGCCCCATCCGCGGGATGCAGGCAGCACATGAAACCACGCCTCTTCCGGTCCGCAGAGAAACCTCTCTCCACAGAACCAGTCCCCGGTGCCCAAAAGGTTGAGGGCCACTGCTCTAAGGACTTCCTCATACAAATATTCTCCTTTATCGAACTCTCTTTGTTTATAACAGTTGACATTTCCATCTTAACCAAATCTGTTTTTTCACCTCTCCATTCCGACCCCCGCCCACCCCCCCACCCCCCACCCCCCCCACCCCCCCGCTGTGGCCTGGCCTCCGTATTTGTAGAATGAAGAGATGAACTATCTGTGGGGATTTAAACATTTCTGTGAAGAATGGGAGCATAACAGAAGTAAAAAGGCCATTCCAAACTGTAAAAAAAAGGAATACAGGCAGCCCGTTTCATTTAGTGACCGTTCGAAGCTACAAGGGCACTGAAAAAAGTGACCTGTGACCGGTTTTCACACTTATGACCGTTGAAGCATCCCCACGGTCACGTGATCGAAATTCAGACGCTTGGCAACTGACTCGTACTTATGACGGTTGCAGTGTCCCGGGGTCATGTGATCCCCTTTTGCGACCTTCTTACAAGCAAAGTCTATGCGGAAGACAGGTTCGCTTAATGACCGGGTTGCTAATTTATCAACCACAGGGGATTCACCAGAACAACTGTGGCAGGAAAGGTCGTAAAATGGGGGAAAACTCACTTAATAACTGTCTCATTTAGCAATGGAAATTTGTGGTCATAATTCGAGGACTAGCTCTAGTCTGCGCACATCCACAGTATGGCCGAAAATCCAACACAAATAACTTCATCTTACAATCACAACTGAGCCCCAAATTCCCGTTGCTAAGCGAGACATTTGCTAAGTGAGTTTCGCCCCATTTTACAACCTTTCCTGTCATTCAATGAATCTCCTCTGTAGGGGTTCAAGCTGGCAAAACGGTTGTTAAGTGAATCAAATCTAACTGTGCTTGTCGGTTGGTCGCCAAAGGGGAATCACGTGACCCCGGGACCTTGCGACCGTCATAAATATGAGTCCGTTGACAAGCGTCTGAATTTCGATCACGTGACCACCGGGTTTGCTGCAACGGTCGTTAAGTGTGAAAAGCAGTTGTAAGTCGCTTGTTTTCGGTGCCGCTGTAACTTCAAGCCAGTGGTGGGTTGCCCCTGGTTCGGTCCGGTTCTATAGAACCGGTAGTAAAACCGGCGGGAGGCTCCGCCCACCCGCCACAATGTCATCACGGGTGATCTGCGCATGCACTCCCGTTGCGAACCGGTAGTAAAAGTAAGTAGAACCCACCCCTGCTTCAAACGATCACTAAATGAACCGTTGTAAATTGAGGACGACCGGAATAGTTCTTTCCAATGTTCACCCATGTTTTTTCGATGCTACGGTGACCTCAGAACAAATTGATTTTTTTTCCTCACAACCAACCACTTTTCCGGCCTCAAAGAGTCGTCGTAGCTTTCTGAAACCGCAACGACAACTTGTTGAACCAGAAGCCACTAAGAAATAAAACACCACCGCACAGACTCTGTGGGAAAACTGTAATTTGACTTTCCGTTCTTTTTTTTAATTATTTTTAAGCCTGTTTGTTTCCACCGTTGCACCCCGCACAAAAGATCTCAAATGAGAGCCGGTAACATAATCCAGAGCAAGGGGTTGTTCGGGGTTTTTTTTGGGTGGGACGTTACTTTTTAAATATTTGGACAAAATAATTCAACCCCCCCGCCCCCAATCTTTTGGGCTTTGCCGTCTCGATTCAAAGAACCTCTTTTCCTCCCCCAAAACTCGATTCAAATCTTGCCGTGAAAAGCAAAACAATAAAAGCAAAACCATAATAAATGTCGTATCTTACGATTCTCGACGAATCTATTTTATTTTTATCCTTTATGTACGCTGAGAGCACGTGCACCAAAGGCAAATTCCTTGTGCGTCCAATCACACTTGGCCAATAAAAAATTCTATCTAATTCTATATTTTCACTCCTGCCCTCCACTTGCGCCAAACAGAAACAGAAGCTTAATTTACTGCAGGGAGCTTAAAATAAAAACAGAATTTAGCGTAGCAGCCTTACACCTCGGATTAAAGTAATAATAATAATAATAATAATAATAATAATAATAATAATAATAATAATAATTGCATTCATCTTCCACCCCTTGTCATTCAGCTGGGGAAATCTTTCAACGCTTTGCCGAAGCTTTAAAAAAAAAACGCATCAATGCCAGATGGGAACCGTTGCAAAACAACCCCCCCCCCAAAAAAAGCAAATCCAGAACTCGTTTGGACCAAATGCCCATTTCCTAACACACCAAGGAGGTTAAAAAATCAATCAATAAATCAATAAAAGCAACCTGAAACATGGCTAATCCATTCTTCACAACTGTTTCACAGGAGCTGTTCTCCATAGCATGCGAGACGAAGCATCCTGAGTTTTTTAAGTCAGCAGGCAAAACATCTCACAAAGATGGAAGAGATTGCTTCCAAATCATGTCTTTATGGATCCGGAACTCCAGTATACACACACACAAAAAAAAACTGTACACACGAATTTTTACGTCTGTTGTTTGTTTCTCGTTCGGTCAAAAATAAGGAAGCTCTGGGTTTCCCCCCTGCCTCTCGGCTCCGTCCGAGGAGACGCTGCAGTTCTGAAAAAAAGGGGATGTCTTTCCTCCAAAAGCAAGAAAAAGAAAAAAAAGAAAAGAAAGAAAGAAAGCAGACTCTTTCCCCCGCCTGATGTCTCTGAAGAATTCAATCTTGCTCTTTGCTCGTTGCCAGCTCCTGGCTGCAGGAGATCTGAAAGCACTTGTGGCTACCACACATGTTCGGAGCGAAGCAGAACAATGGACGTCTTTGACAGGCTCCCGATTATAAATTCTTTCCACTAAAAACGCCGCGGAGAGCTCTCCAGAGGAAGGAAAAGGTCAGGAGAAAACCCCAGCCTTAACTTTAGGAAAAAGATTGTCCCTTGTTTCGGCTAGGATCTTGTCGGAGAATTCGGAACAGAGCTGGAAGGGACTTTGGAGGTCTTCTAGTCCAACCCCTCGTTCAAAAAGCGGGCCTTATCCCCGGGATGGCGAACCTGTGGCACGCGTCTCCCCGAGGTGGCACGCACAGCCATCTTACGGGGCACGCGAGCTGTCGCCCAACTCAACTGCAGCTGCGTGCGTGCAATTCAGGGGACCCAGCTGGTCTTCGGAGCTCTCCTGCGCAGGCGTGCGCATTTGCGCGAGAGTACTCGCACGCAGCGCGCCCGTGCGTAGATGGCGTACATTGCACAAAACGCAAAAACCGCATGGTGGTGTGATTCAGGGGTGGGTTCTAAATTTTTTTTACTACCGGTTCTGTGGGCGTGGCTTATTTTGTGGGTGTGGCTTTGGAGGTCATGTGACTAGGTGGGGCGTGGCTAGCTGGTCAGAGTCATTTCTGGAAGGTCCTCGCACTTACGACCAGTCCTCGCACTTACGACCCGACTCATTTGTTTGCTTTTAACACTGATCAGCTGTAGGGCGGCCCTTTGAAGCCCCGCGGCAAGAGTTTAAACAGTTTTTTTTCCCTCTAGTCATCAGCTGGGACTCAGGAGGCAGCAATAGATTGGGGGTGGGACCAAATAAAAGGTAAGAATAACGTGGGGGGGTGGGGGGGTGGGAGGGGGGAGAACCGGTTTGGTGACGTCATATCGTCACTGCTACCAGCTCGGCCGAACCGGACCAAACCGGGAGGAACCCACCACTGGTGTGATTGCGCATGAGGGAGCCATGTGAAACCTGCACGCATGCACAGATGGTGCGGTTGCACATGCAGCGCATGGGGGAGGAGCCGCGCGTTAGCACGGATAGCACACGCGTCAGAAGCGTGTACCTGTTTCGCACTCGGTGAGTAAAAGGTTTGTCACCACTGCCTTATACCAGGGGTGGGTTCTACATACCTCCGTTACCGGTTTGCAACGGGGGCACACAGATCGTTCATGATGAAATTCAGGTGGGTGGGCGGAGCCTCCTGCCACCGTTACTACCGGTTCGCAAGAACCGGACCGAACCGGGAGCAACCCACCACTGCCTTCTACCATTTCAGACAAGTTCCATTCAGAAACAGAAGGCTCAGCAAGATGGGATACCCTCAAGAACATGAGAAGAGGTGGTACCCGCTTTATACTGCACTAGTGAGGCCACACCTGGAATCCTGCATCCAGTTGTGGTCACCATGATAAAAAAAAAAGATGCTGAAACTCTGGAAAACACGCAGAGAAGAGCACCAAGGATGATAAAGAATCTGGAGGCTAAATTATATGATGAACAGTTGAGGGAGCTGGGGAAGACGAGATGGATTAGAGGGGACGTGATAACCATCTTCTACTACTCGAGGGGTCGCCACTGAGAAGAGGGGATTGACATTATTCTCCAGACCCCAAGAGACAGGACAATGGGTGGAAGCTCGTCAGAGGATGCTCCAACCTGGAGCGAAGAAAGATTTTCCTGACAGTGAGAATCA